CTACAACCCATGTCTAAGCAAAAGCTTGTCGAGGAGCGAGGGGAAGAAGGGAGAAGTTGTGTGTGAACTACATAATAAAAGGAAGTAACACCGAATCATCACCGTCAAGAGGAGGGCCATAAGCAGTAGTGTTGATTTACGTATTCGGCTGGATTACGTGCGAGCGCCCTCTTTGTGATGACCGTGGTCATCTGTCATCTGTCACTGTTGGGCCTCTAAACTAGACTACAATAACACATCTCAATTCCCTTCGCCGAGCACTGTGGCTTTGCGTAACTTCATCACACGGGTCGTATGGTATGGCGAGCGGGACAAGTGAGCGGATGGTGCTGGGTGATATGGTGGTGTCTTCACCCGACCAGGGGCATCCCTCGCCAAGGGAGTGAAGGCCGTATTTTGCTAACGTTTGCTAAAGTACCATTTTCGGTAGTCAAACTACGCAGCAGTGTGTAGTCTTACGTGTGTAGACTATATAGTCTAGGCTCGAGTCTACACATCAACGCTCGCTCTCGTCCGGAGGTCTATGTATGCATGCATCTATGAGGGCTTACTAAACGCACGACAAACCCAGAACAAATCAAATTGAGTTTTTGACATCGACTTCCGTTCCTCGCCACCCCCATGTACGGTAGTGGGATCCGCCTCATACCGCCTCAATCCCCCGAACAACGAGGACTTGATGCTGCGCATCGGCCTGCAGTACAAAAATTGGACGGTTGGCAAAGCATCATTACGGGGCGGCGGTTGGTGCGGGTAGACCACAGCTTCAGTACCTTCTTCAAATTAACAGCTGCTGCTGTCTTGTGTATAGTCTAGACGGAGTTGAAGCGTTTTAGCGGCGCCGATTGCGGACCTCCAGAGATGCTGCCTGTGCCGCTGAATCATCTCCGCCCGCAGAGCAACAGAAACACACGAGCCACCACAGCTCAGCGACGCACCGTTTTGGTACTACTGGATCCAGGGGTCGTTTCGCTCAACAGCTGCGTGTAGTTAGATCTATGCAACAAAGGCGACCCGTACTTGTATCTGCCGTCGAGAGATTGCCACCATAGTGCCTTCAGCTTGGCACACGGTGGTCGAACGCTTCCTCCCCAGGCGGTGAGCACCAGCCAAGTTTGGTGGGTCAGCCGATAGTTGCGGGTTAGGATTTTAGAGACACGTGGGACGAGGTGTTCGCCACAGGCATAGCGGACACTAGCAGTCGATCATCAAGCAAGGTACTTTCGCCAAACGTACCCACGCACTTGACATATTATTGCACACCCTACAGCAGTAGCAAGGTTGAGCAAGGCAAGGGACAAGAAGGATGCCCCATGTCCCCGACCCCCTCTTGTTCACTCTCTGGCGTGCTGTCTGCTCCTCTTGTCCAATTCTCACGGCTGCCGTATATACGCCAGCGCTGGCGAGATTCTTGCACTTGCCAGTTGACAATTTTTGGGTTGTGGTTGGAGGTAGACACAAACCCAAAGCCACAGCGGGTTTCCAGCCCTCAGGCAGCACCAAGGCGCTAGGTCTCACTAGGCCTAAGGCACCCCTAAACCCTAACCCTAACCCTAACCCTAACCCTAACCCAAAACCTCAACCTACGTTGTTGTGCAGTGGGTCTGTGCCGAGCTACTGGAGCGTGTTTTTTCTGTGCCAGTCAGTGCTGGCAAATTTTCGCCGCGGGCAATTCTCGAGGGGGCTACGTGTCGTGCAAAATGGAAGTGTACCACGTACTTGTAGTTCTGTTCTCAGTAGCGCCCCCCCCGCGACGTGTCGAACGCTGGCCCAGCGTGAGCGAGCAGCATCCACATCAACTCAACTGCCGACCATCCTATCCTACGACTTGCACAGCCTCGTGCACCCTCGCTGATACCGATCGCCGCGTCATCACCCACTGCAGTATCGCTTGCGGGCTGGCCCCTCTGTTCTTACTCACCAGCTTCCGCAACAAACGACAAGGTCTAGCATTTTTAACAGAGCGGCGAAGGGAGGGAACAGCAGCAGCGTCGACGGTCCTGGCTCGGCGAGCTTTGGCTGCAACCCACCCTGTGAGAAATATGCGTACGTCCGTGCTGACGAGCAACACGAACTGCGGTACGACAGCAGGCTGTATTGCACCCCTCCCTCTTGTCCTGTGGGGTTGTGGTGCGGGATAGCGGGCACGGGATTTCTTTTTCTCTCTGGTTGGCTGCGGGAAATCATCTTGTCACAAAGCACACATCTTATTCGGCCGCCTGCTGCTGAGTACAAACAGTAGGCGAGTGCTAGGTTATGTAAATAGATGCATGTCCTTCGAGATCTCGGAGGCGCCGGAAAGCCTCGTAGCATGCTGGGGTTTTTCAACGTTGTTCCTGTATCTGAGGACTGACGCGCTTGGTCTTTTTGAAGCTGCTGCTGTGAGCCATGTCTTGCCTAGGGCGGAGGTTCCGCCTGCCGAACTATGCTGCTGTGGTCTAGATATTACCTCGAGACGATCAGAGGAAACACGTTCTATTAATAGTCTTTTTATGTCGTGCTTTGTTACTTCAAGCATTGTGCCAACCACATGTTTGCATGCACACCTGTGGCCTCAATCTTCGGGGACATGGAGGCAGATGCAGGGCGTGATACCTGCGCTTGTACAGCAGTAGCGTTTTGGAATTTTGAATGCGGCGTCGGATTACACTTAGTACATGGTAGATGGACTGCTGCCGTATGCTGTACGCACTGACTGCGTGAGCCCGTCACTTGGTGCAAAAGTAGTGTCTGTGGGCGCAGCGGAAAGCACCACAGGGCAGTAATGCACACCCGAATGCATACAGTTGTGAATGGCGCCGCGCCTGTGCTGCCCCTACCGCCTCCGTCCCCACGAGTAGCAGGATATCGATGCCTGTGTACTCTTGTGTTGTGTTCGTAGTACTAACAGTACAAGAGAGACGAGACATCTGCTGCCGCGCGACCATTTCTGTCCACTTCCAGGCTCATAGACGTACACATGGTTAGACGTGGGCTAGGCATCTCTGCCCGCTTCCAGGCTCATAGACATGCACATGATTGGGTGTGGGCTAGGCCCACGCCGCTGTTGATCTGGTGCATGATGTACGGATGGATGCTGCATCACAAGAGAAACACCCAGTCCCAGTTATGGGAAAGGCGACGCCTTGTCGTGCATTGCCTTGCCTTGCCTTGCCTTGCCTTGCCTTGCCTTGCCTTGCCTTGCCCTGTTGCGTTCTTCGGCGACGATGCTTCTGTGAAACAGAAAGCATGTAGGGGCAAGTAGTGAAGGTTGGAATGTGATTTGCATAGGACATTTGCATAGGGTTAGGGTTAGGGTTAGGGTTAGACGATACAACCGTGACGACAGCAGTGGCCATGTCATGTCCTCTTGCGCGATCCACCGGGGGCAAGGCACCAAACTCCCCAAGGGCAACAATAGTTCTTCAAAGCACATACTCGGTTAATCAGTATTCAGCATCGTAGTATGGCAGCAGAGTCACCGAAAGCACAGGCGCGGAAGCTGCTGTTGCGAACCCTTTACCTTTCCCCTTCATCCAATGTCGTGAGCCCGGTGATGCCGTGCTATGCATACCGCCCCTGATTTCAAACGCGAGTGCACGTGTTCAGCACGCTCTTCTCCGCATCCCACCACTGCACAGATGCGCCCCCTGGTATGACATGATACACTGCCAGGTTTTCCTGCAATTGTGACTGTTCACATGTCTCGACGCCGTTTTACGCAGGTAGCGGAGCAGGCGCTAATACCGGTTGCGGTGCATCGCAATGTCCATGGTGGCACTGCACTGGCAATAAGCAAGAAATATCGTCTTCGTGGGCGGTCCTGTGCCGAGTATTGCATGGCATCCTAAAGTAGCTCTTCCTACGGCTCTTTCGGCGCCCGATTCAGATGCCACGGATACATGTGTGTGGGGCTCCGGAGCTTTCATCAATCTTTTGCCGCAAAGCACCGCAACAGATCGTAGACAATACAAATTGAGTTCCTTGCAGCAGGCATTCCCGGCTGTTACGTGCATGTACGCCCAGACGTGATGGTTCCAGCATTGTGAGCGGGATGCCAATGTCAACGCATGCAACCATTTCTATTATACCAGCAGTCCCCCGCCTCCGGGTAGCCTATCCGAGCACCTGAACCCGTCGCACTCAGACGGGAAACCGTATTCCGTGTGTCGCATCTGCTGATCCCAATTGGATGTGTCCCGTCGTGGGCGCGATCGTGTCGCACATGTTTTTGTTTCTCTCTACAACAGCTTTGGGGGGAAAAGGAGAGGAGGGGAGAGAGTGGGTGGAATCACCCGTCAAGAGAAGAGGAGCGAAGAACTGACAAAAATGGAGAGGATGGATCTATCCCTGACCTTAGACTCTCGTGACGAAGCTACGATCGTCAAGGAGGATGGACCGGATGGGTTTTCCGCGGAGACTATTTTCAAGGCCACTACGGGTTGCCAAGGCCTAACGTACGATGACGTCATCCTCATGCCCGGTAAGCTTGTCCCGAACAGGACACAGGATATTCATGACATTCTCTTACAGCGTGATTATTGGGGTAGTCGTGGACCGAGTTATGTGTGCACCTGAAGATAATCCGTAGTGTGTGTGGTGATGTCAAAACGGTAATTTAATCTCCGGTGCCTCGAGTAGATGCGGATGCTTGGTATGATGACATTGCTCGAACGGTATCACAGCACGCCTCACCGCGGTGTTGAGTGCTAGTCGGGTGTGCTCTGTTGTCAGATGTTTCGCGTGTTTTATGCATATGCATACGCTAATGCGTGACGAAATGACAGGTTTGGTAGCCGTCAAAGTGCAACTCCATGCTCCGTGCAATGCAATGCCGCGGCATCGACACTCGGCATGTTTCCTGTGGGATTTACCTCCTTTTTTGCCAGCGAACAGTATCGTATGGTGCTGGTCTTGCAGCACTGCTGTAGCAATTTTTTTCGTCTTTCAGACCTTGGTGCGTTTTTTCGGGCTGATTTTGTCTTCTCTTGAACCGGTGCAGGTCGGGTCAGTGATGTTTATCACTTCTGTTGACGTCGGTCAATGACGAATCTCTTGGGGATCTACCATACAAGGTGGTGTTCTCATGAGCTGTGGTTGACTTGACGTGGTCGCCTTCTTGGTGGTGCGTGTTGGACTGTCGGCATGTGTTGCAGGCCACATCTCCTTCTCGGCGGAAGACATCGACCTAGAATCCCACGTCACCAAGAACATCAAGCTCAAGGTACTTGAATATTCCGTGGTTGAGCCGTGTTTTTTCATTTTTCGGTGGTGCTTCTTCACCTCTTATGTGTTTTATGTGTGCATAACCAAGCGGAGAACAAGAGGCGCTTCCGTTTTACCAGCAGCGGACTGCGCTCGTGTTCTCCGGCTGGCACAGATGAATGAACGGGTCCCAATATTCGCTCCTTGTCATCCCTCTAGCATCATCTCTGGCATGATCTGGGCGGAACACGACGACTACAGCATTGGGGTGGTTCTTGGTTTGTTTTTGTCATACGCGACGATCGTGAGCACGTACGTACGTACGGCACAGGATCCACCGCAAGCGTTGCCATCCCCACGCCGCAGCCCCACAAGGTGGATTGTGACCCTCGCCAGCTTGACTGATTATGATTCCGAAAGTTTTGTTTTGCTTCACGCGCCTACAATGCCTTCTTGTTTCGGGGTAACAACAAATGTGTTTTTTTTTTTTTTCCTCCCTCTGGTTTTTCACCGTTGCCTTGTGTCTTTTCTTTTCTCGTCTCGTGTGTATGCAGACCCCGTTGGTGTCTTCCCCAATGGACACTGTCACGGAAGCCGCGATGGCGATTCAGATGGCCCTGCATGGCGGTCTCGGCGTGATCCACTACAACATGCCCATCGGTGAGCAGCTTGCAACGCTGTCGGGATTGTGCGACTATTTCTAGTCGCTACTGGTCGGTGGTACCTGGCGCAAAACTGGTTGCACGATGACCTCGGAGTTGATACGGGTGTTGAAACGGCAGTCGTCTTAACATTATTAAGAAAGGGCGTCGGGTGTATCGGTGGTGTCGACATGCCAACAGTGGTACTTGTTACCAGACTCGCTGTGCGAGTACCGCAGAGAGGTAGGAGGTGGGGGGAGTATTGAGAGTCAGGATCGGAGACCGTGCTCTTACTGTGTTTTCGGGAATGGAAAAGAAACAGGTTTTTTCATAAAATCAAAGGAAACAAGACAAGGCAGAGGCATCGACAGAGGCAAAAGAAGTGGCGCAAGGGGGGCAAGGGTAGCTGCTCTACCTCGTGCACGCATACAGTGCATATATGCGTCGCGTTCGTCGTGTTGCCTTGATCAGTTTACAATACCGTGTTGTATACCTGTGCTGATGCGATTTGGCTGCGCAACTGCCTGCTAACACCACTATTACGTTGTCCTTTCCAGCGGAGCAAGCCGCCAACGTCCGGGAGGTGAAGCGGTACAAGAACGGTTTCATCATGGACCCCCTGTGCTTCACGAAGGACCACACGGTGAGGCAGTGAGAAACGTCTCATGTCAGTATCAGGAACCTGTGTGGTCACATAGGCCAAGGACACCCCCCCCCCCACCCCCCTCCCCCAGCTATATTTGTCGGTCAGTCGGTTGGTGGTTCTACGGAAAGGTTCTCGGACCGGAGCTAGTCAATCCCCCATGTGGCCTTTGTGTCGTTCTGATAGCCTTGTTGAAGTTGTGAAGCCGTGCCGTGGTCGTGATACAGCGTGCATAGGTCCGACCGTGCCCGAGAGGAGCGGTACTGCTGTACGGGACAGCTGCCCCGTTGTTGGGCAGTCAGTCGTTGACAAGTGTCACTGACTAATCAGCATCGCCAGGCGATGCCGCCTTGCTCGCGAGATGCCGTCTTGCTGTTCGCCACGTAACCCACCCACCCACCCGTCGTTCGTCGCTGGCTATCGTGTGGTACATGGATGTGCTTGCTATTTAGGTTCAAGACGTGCGGGACATGAAGGCCCAGCAGTCGTTCAGCGGCATCCCCATCACGGAGGACGGTAAGATAGGCTCCAAGCTCTTCGGCATCGTCACACGACGAGACATCGACTTCATCGCCGACCCCTCCGTCAAGCTCTCAGAGGTGTGTGGTAGTTGCCGCTGTGGCTGTTGCTGCTGCTGCTGCTGCAACTACTGTTTATTTTGCCTTGTTGTCAGTTTCGTCGCCATTTCTCTCGTCTTGGGGAAGATTACCCCTGGTTTCTAATTGGTTTCCAATTCATGCTTCATTTTGCTTCTTTTGAGTGATTCATCGGTGATTGTGATGATGATGATATTGTTGCTGCTGCTGCTGCTGCTGCTGCTGCTGCTGCTATTGTCGTGTTTTCGTAGGTGATGACGAAGAAGATGGTGACGGCGATGGAGCCGGTGGGCCTGGAGGAGGCCAACGCTCTTCTCAAGTCTAGCAAGAAGGGCAAGCTTCCCGTCATCAACGCTGATGGAAACGTGAGATCTCTCGATATACAACATCGCTACCTCTGTTTCGCTTTGTAGATACAACGAGCACGAACGAATTCAGGAACAGTTCCCGCATGTGGCGTCAATGTGCCAAGCGACTTGAACGGTGTTGTGACGGGCACCCGGCACTATTCAGACTGCGATACACCTTGAATATTCCATCTGTATCGCGAGCCTTTTGCAGGGCGGGTGGTCTTCCTCTCATGCCGCGGTGCTGTGCCCCTCCTGTTCATGTGCAGGTTGCCACCAATGCCGCCTATGGTTATGTAAACCATTATGGTAACACTGTCTAGAAGGTATCGTGGATTTGGCAGGGAACAATAGTTCTTCGGACCTCACAAAGCCAGTAGAGTTGGAGGTCGCGGCCTAAACCGTATTCGGAAGTGTTGGCGGAGCGGCGTACAGCACATGCCACCACCTGAGAACTTGAGGCGTTACAATTGTAGCATATTTTGTATGAAGTACTGAGAACTTGGACCCCATACCGCACTTCAACCTGTGTTTCCTGGCGGACATTGTGGAAACAAGTTGCGAGAGTTTTGCCCAAATAAAGTGAAGAGGTGGCGCCTTTGCACTGATTCCTGAGAAGGCGCGTGGGCATCAATTTTTTTTGTGTCAATGTTCACGGGGGCCCCGATGATGGGTAACTCAAACTCTTCGCGTGTATGCGTCGCGGTGTAGCCGAGGACCAAGTATGTGTGATATGGGGACGATGTAGAGGCGTTGTGTGTGTGCCTGCTGAGACGTACGGTCATAAGCAGGCAATGAGAACGTGTATTCCCGCTTTTTTTGCTGCCGTGGTACAGTAGAGGGATTGACAATGTTCCACTCACGCCTCTATTTATTTTAGCCCATCCGCTGTGTGCTTCGATGCTCGTCTTGCTCTGTCGTCATCCGCCGCTTCATGATATGGCGTAACCCCCCACCTGGCGCGGCGTTGCAGCTGGTAGCGTTGATATCGCGCACGGACCTGATCAAGAACAGAGACTTCCCCCTGGCGACGAAGGATGACAACAAGCAGCTCCGCTGCGGTGCCGCCATCGGGACACGCCCGGAGGACCGTGATCGCTTAGCTGCCCTGGCAGAGGTGGGTGGATGATAGGATAGGTGTGGCTACGCTCCGCAAACGCCCCCCACGTGCATGTCTTGTCTGTCTGTCTGTCTCTCTTGTCTCTCTTGTCTGTCTGTCTGTCTCTCTTGTCTCTCTTGTCTCTCTTGTCTGTCTGTCTGAACCACAACCTTTTTCGTTTTTTTTTTTTATTCCGGGGGGGGCAGGGGGCAGGCACTGCTACCAAACGAGCACCGCCTGTGCTGAAAGCAACCTACACAGTGTCTACGCAGTTTGCCACGTTTGCCCAGTATTCATTTTGTCCTGCCACTTTGACGGATCCCGGCTGCGTACTTTTTGTGAGCGTATCTGTTGTGTGATGCGGAAGGCGTCGACTCGATGACGCCGTCAAAGCCGAGACCTAAATCGTTTGCTTATGCCACGCTCACGTGGACTGGTGTGCCGCCCAGTTGGAAGGGAGGTGGAAGCGACGCACGAAGAGAGCGCGCAGATGGCCGAAGGGTGCCCCCCCCCCCCCCCCCCCCCCCCCCCCCCCCCCCCCCCCCCCCCCCCCCCCCCCCCCCCCCC